TGACGATTCTGGCCCCTCCATCAACCACAGCAGCTGTCGCCCCAAAACCGGTCTGAACCAGGCTCGCGAGCACTGATGCTTGGCGAGCGAGGCTACATCTGATGCGCCCGAGGCCTTTCGCTCTGCGAGCTGGCAAACTAGGCTGGGCGAACTCCTTAGCAAGTCTAGCTGCTCTCCCCTTTCCGTGACAAGCCCCCGCGCCGACTCCGCCCTCCGCCCCAGGTCAGCGAGCGAGAGCAGCCAGACATGGGCAGTAGAGGCGGCTGCCCCCCATTTCGAGGCGGTCGCCTGGAGATGACCCCGAGCTGCCACGAAACAAGCCTGGAGGATGTCTCAGGGCGGGGGCCCCTCCAAGACGGCCCGGGCCCGCGCGTGCACAACTTCACCGCGGTGCAACCTGGCCAGGTCGAGCTGGGCCCCAAGCGTGGAGCTCAGGAAGCGAAGGCCCGTGGAGGCCGTCTTCTCCCTTCGAAAGAGACTGCTCGCGGCCTGGAAGCGAAGAGCGCGGAGCTTCCTACCAGGGGACCCCGCGGCCGCCGAGCCCCAAAGACAGGCCGCCTGTGGCCCTGAACGGTGCCGCCCCTCTCTTCGCACCAGCCTCGCGCAGTCTTCTGATGCGCCCTGCGCGGCGAACCCCCTGGCACATCCGAGCCGTCGCTATCGGGGCTCTACGCCTGCCAGCCGTCGCCGCATCCGCGCCCAGGTCACGCGCAAACCCCCGACGCCTGAACCCAAGAGCCCGCCATTCGACAAACGAGCGGCCGGCAACAGACTGGCAGGATGCAAGGAAAAAACTCTTGCTGCCCTGAAGCACGAGGCCTAGGTCAGCGAAACCTGCTGCGAGCTCACGGCCCGCTGCTCCCAGCTGCTCAGCCACGTGCCCCGTCGTTCCGATGTACTGCGCCGACACGTCATCCAACGCGTTGCGCACCGCAACCGACGGGTGATCGCGACCGAGGCTGACGAACATTCGGTAGAGCATGACCTCGATCATCGCGGTCGCAAGGCTGCAGCCCGCGAAGACCGCCCCGCCGTTCACCGCGACCACAGCGCTGCAGCAGTCCGGGAAGGAGATCACCCGAGGCCCGTTGTACAGTGCGCACGCCGCTCGCAGCACGCGCATGTTGAAGCCGACCTCCTGGGCCTCCCTGCCCAGGATGGAGTGCGACGCGAACTCGTGCGTCTTCTTCAAGTCCGTGAAGAGGGAGCCTGACTCCACGCCGAGCGCGTGGGCGTGGTAGCCCAGCATGTTGTGCTCCCAGCCAGCGCGGTCGCACGACTTGCCCCGTGCTCCCCAGAAGGCTGCAAGCCTGTGGTCGCGCTCCCACTGATGGGCCCAATCCGCCCTTAGGCGGCTCCGCGCGCGCAGCAAGCTGGAGATCAGCGCGATCGGCCTGAGGCCACCTCGATCCTTCCCGGTGGAGATGATCAGCGTGGGCCAGAGGGCAGACCACGAGGGCGCGCGCTCCAACAGCTCAATCAAGTCGAGGCTGCGCACCAGGAGCTCGTCGGGCAGCAGGAGCCAAGACCGCGGGTTGACGCAGTCACTGCCGAGCCCCGCGCGGACGGCGAAGCGGCCCAGCACCCGCTTGAGACACGCCAGGCTGGCCCGCGGGAGCTCCTCCTTCTCCGCCGCCGCGAGCGCCTCGGCTCCGAGCGGCGCCTTGCCCGCCTGCCAGTAGGCCTGCCACTCGGCGAGCAGCGCCTCCACGGCCGCGCCCCCCTGCAGCGGGGCCCCGCCGGGGTCGGAGGGCCCGTCGAGGGCGGAGAAGGCCTTGCTTTACCTGTGCGCTTCCGCACCACCCTTGAGCACAGCTCCTCTGGCCCAGTCTTGCCAGCGGTGCCAAACGGCCTGCTGCTGCTGCTGCTGCTGCTGCTGCTGCTGCTGCTGCTGCTGCTGCTGCTGCTGCTGCTGCTGCTGCTTGCCGACCGCGTCAGCGTGCTCGCGAAGGCGTTCTTCGGCCTCGGCCAGGCTGGCCCCGCCTGCGAGCAGCGCCGCTCCGAACTCAGGAACCGGGTCGGCCAGCCCACTGGGCCCGAGACGGCCGTCGGCCTCGCGGCCGAAGGCAGCGTGGAGGTCTCGCACCTGGCCGCGTCGCTCCTCAGGCCACGCTCGCTGCTGCTCCACGGCGTCAGCTGCGCCCGAGCCTCCCCCGCCAGCACGAGGAGAAGCACTGGGCTCTCGGGCTGCCCGCTGCGACGCCGGTCGCTCGAACCCCGACGAACCCTCGGCAAGGCCCTGCACGCAGGACGGCTCAGCGCTGCCCGCGGGGCGCGCTTTGCCTCCCCGCTGTGGCCGAAGCCCGCGTGGCCGTTCCAGAGCGACCTCGCCCTGCCCAGCACCGCGGCCAGAGACCGCCAAGCCCTTGCGGCCTCAGACTGGCCCGGCAGCTGCCGCCGCTTGACCGGCGCGTCCAGCGCGACGGCGCGGAAGCTCATGCCGCCGGCCCTGCCGCGGTGCTTCTCGCCCGTGGTCGAAGTGGCAGCAGAGCTCATCCTCCATGTTCCTGAGCCACTCTTGCCATGCCCCTACAATGCCCAAGGTCGTGGGGGCCCCCCTTTGCCCAGCTCCAGCTGTGGACAAGCGGCTCGGGGAGGCGCCCCGCCTGCCTCGCCGTCGGGAACACCCCCCACTTCGGGCGGACTTGGACGGACAGGTTCAGCGAGAAGTTCGAGACGCGCAGCCCGATCGGCGAGCGGGGGGCCGAGGGCGCCTCCGCGCGCGCCATCACCTGGCGCACGCAAGAGGCGAGCCCTCGCGACGCCGCGAAAAAGTCCAGCTCCCTCGGGGCCCCCGCGCTGGGGCGGCTGGTCGCGCCCCCCGCTGCAACCGCTGAGGCCCCAAGGAGCCGCGCCCAACTGGCGACCCCCCCGTCGCTGACGGGCATGTCCCAGTCGCCGCCGATCACCCACGGCGAGCGCAGCTCCGCCAGCCAACGGCCCAGGCTGTGCAGGAGCGTGATGTTCTTGCCCCCGAAGCCGAGCCCGTCGAACAAGTAGACGGAGAAGAACCAGATCCCGCCCGGCACCACCGCCTGAGCGTCGAGGCCCGCAATCCTGCCTGCCCACAGCTTGGCCAGCCCGCCCGGGTCATCGAACCTGTTGGTCGCGGCCGTGATGTGCTTGGCCGCGCGCGCCGCGACCCCCGAGGACGCGGCCAGCTTGTGATTGCCCTTGACCAGACAAGGCGTGACCGCAGTGCGGTAGCCCTGGAGCGCAAGCCAGCTGGACACACTGCGCGACTCATCGCCGTCGCGCTTGCGCGTCTCCTGACCTGCCAAGAAGTGGGGCGGTGCAATGACACTGGTCGTGCGTTCCGCCAGCCTCCTGTCGACGACCGCCTGGAACGAGTTGCATCCCGTGCTGCTGGCCCACGTGTTGCCATTGGCAGAGCAGAAACGCCAGACCGTTGCACTCGACGACCGCTGGCGGCCGCTAATACCGTCGATGCTTCCGAATGGTCGACTTGGCCTTGAAGCCTTTGACCTTGTCCTCGAGGGCTCTCTTGACCGCAGCGCAGCGCTAGTCGGGGTCTGCGTCCACGCCGCAGGCAGCGGCCTGCTCTGCGAACTCGATGATGCGACGCTGGGAATCTTCGTCGAATCCCATCTCCTGATCTCCTGCCGCGGAGTCTGCCGCAGCAGAGTCGCCATCATCAGCGCCGATGGCGCCCGCGCACGCCTGCTCCTGCAGCAGGGCGATGCGCTTCCCGAGGTTGCCCTGCTCCTTCTCGGCGGCGAGCCACTCGGCGAACCCTTCGCCGGCTGCCTGGCACTGCTCGGCGGAGAGCTCCAGGCTGAGCGCCGCGCCGGCACCGTACTGCTTCTGGAAGGTTGTCTTGGCCTCGCACTCCAAGGCCTGAACCGAAAGAGATGCCTCCACTGAGGCTGCTTCCAAGGCCGCCACCTCCTCGTCGAGCTTCTCCTTGGCCTTCGCGACCACAATCTTCTTGGCCTCCAGCGTCGCGTCGGCCTTGACCTTGGCCGCCCTAGCACGCTGCAGCCGCTGGGCGACGGAGGCCTGCACGGCCTCTGGCGACTTGGTCTTGAGGAGCAGCTCCTGCAGCTCTGAGACCTTGGTCTCGAAGAACTTATTGTTTTCCTCGCTGGTAGCCCCCTTGGCGCAGCTGCGCCAGTGACTGATGCGAGCCTGCAAGTCCTTGGCGGGGTCCGAGACGATGCAAGTGTCCACCTCTTTCTGGGCCTCCGCGGCGCCCCCGCGGGAGAGCTGCCCCAGCGCCTTGGCAACCTGCGCCTGGACCAGCTTGGCGAGGTCCTCGGGCTGGCTCCAAGCGCCGCGTGGCCCCCTGGCGCCGCAGCCCCGCCAGCCACCGCCTTCTCATGTGCTGCTTTGGCTTCCTTGCAGACAGCCGCTGGCGCTTGAGCCCCACAGACGCAGCGGACGCGCGAGGCCCAGTTCTCCGTGCGGCTGCACTTCCCGCATGACCAACGCGGCCCCTTGGGCCCGAGGGGGACATCCTTGCCCTGCATGAGGCACGCCGAAGAGTGGGGGATGAGGTCCCTCGACCTGTGAACGAGTGGGCGACCCTGGCCTGGCAGCCACCTGAGGGTCCCCGAAAGAAAAAAGAAGGCGAAAGAGCAAGTGGGCGAGGCAAAAACCGCCTACCTACCCACCGCTCGCTAGCTCACTGTAAACCACCTCGAGAAATTGATTACTTGAGCCAAAATGGCTTGCGCCAAAATTGCTACGGACCCCCCTCCTCCCTCTCCTCCTCTCTCCTCCTCCCCCTCCTCTCCTCCTCCTCCTCCTCCTCCTCCTCCTCCTCCCTCCTCCTCCTCCTCCTCCTCCTCCTCCTCCTCCTCCCTCCTCCTCCTCCTCCCCTCCCCCTCCTCCTCCCTCCTCCTCCCCCTCCTCCTCCTCCCTCCTCCTCCTCCTCCTCCTCCTCCTCCTCCCTCCTCCTCCTCCTCCTCCTCCTCCTCCTCCTCCTCCTCCTCCTCCTCCTCCTCCTCCTCCCTCCGTGGCGTTCGGAGGCCGGGGGCCTCCGCCGTGGCCGTCGCGGCCAGCCCCGCCGGCCGCGCTCGTGGCCCGGGTGCGGCCTCTGTCGCGCCAGGGGCGAGGCCCGGGCGGGGGGGGGGGAGGAGAGTAGGGGAGGGGGGGGGAAGGGGGGAGGGGGCGAGGAGGAGGAGGAGGAGGAGGAGGAGGAGGAGAAGGAGGAGGAGGAGGAGGAGGAGCAGCAGCAGGAGGAGGAGGAGCAGGAGGAGGAGGAGGAGGGCGTGGGTTCCCTCCTTCTCCTCCTCTCCTCCTCCCCCTCTTCTTCCTCCCTTCTCGTCCTCCTGGTCCCTCTTCATCCCTCGCCCTCGTCGCCCCCGCCCCCGCCACCCGGGGCCAGAGACGGGAGGATGGATGGGAGAGATGGCAGAGGGCCACGCAGAAGGAGGACGAGGATATAAATAAGAAGAGGAATACGGAGGAGGACGCAGGAGGGAGGGGGGAAGGAGAGAAGACGAGGACGACGAGGACGACGAGGACGACGAGGAGGAAGAAGGAAGGAGGACGAGGAAGGTGAGGACGAGGATGGCCTAGAAGACCGGGAAGAGGAAGAGGTGGAGGACAGATCCTACTACTCCCCCTCCTTCTCCTCTCCTCCCTCTCTCCGTCCTGTTCCTCCTGTTCCCCCGATTGCGTCCCGCCTCCCTCTCCTTCTCCTCCTCCTGGTCCATCCTCCTGCAACCGCTGCCGCTCCTTCTACTGCCCAAGCAGTCTTGTGTGCAACGCTGCCTGCGTGTCCGGGAAGGCAACGGCCTGCCCTTGCAGGGACGCCTTGAAGCTCTTCTCCCACGCCTGCAGATCGAGGGGCGGACAGGGGCCGTTCTCCTCCTCCTCCTCCTCCTCCTCCTCCTCCTCCTCCTCCTCCTCCTCCTCCCCCTCGCAATGGCTGCCATCGGGCCCAGGTGATGGCGATCGAGGGCCTCAGGATCTTCGTCCCGGCCGGGGGGTGCGCGTCGGGAGCGGCATCGGCGTGCAGCTGGGCAAGCTCATCCTGGGCCTGGCTCGGTCTGGAGCGGCCTGCTCGGGCCTGGTGATCTGTCAAGGTGGCCCAGCCAGTGCAGAAGGCGAGGCGCCCTCGGGTGCTTGGGGTGATCAGCGAGGGCGAGGGACTGGTCGCCCAGAAAAGCTTCGAGCAGGAGGTCCGGCAGGCCAGGCGCGTGGCCTTCGTGGCGAATAGATGCCCAAGCCGAGGACGGAGGAGTGCTACGAGTAGGCCCAGGAGGCCGTGAAGAACGAGCGCTCGGGCAACCACGTGTCGAAATGGCACTGCGAGAACCTGGAGTGCAAGTACAGTCGAGGCGTTGACCTAAGGAGCCCTGAATAAGGAGCGGGGCCCCCTTTTTTCGTAAGCTCAACTTCGACTTCCCCTCGAAAACATCAGGAAACCCTGAGGCAAGCTGTGGAACAATCAAGGAACACCGAGCCCCTCCCCAGCGAAAAGGGTTCCTTCTTCAGCGCCCCGACTGTGCGTCGACTTTGGGAGGCCTGGAAATGGGCACCAACACCAAGACAGAGGGCTGCCTCCACAGGGGGGAGGTGATCCTAGATTTCGGTGTTGGTGGTAATATTTCGGCCACCTTGGAAGCCAGAATATTACCACCATCACCGAGATCGGGATCTTCTTCCCTCGATGGAGGCACACCGCCGATCTTGGTGTTGGTGTCGACCTCTAGGCCTGCGAAAGTCCTCGAAGGGCTCATGGCAGCTTGCCGCAGCCGATGTTGGTGTTGATGCCGTCTCCTGCGGCGGCGGGCCCCTGCACGTGCGGCACGGGCCCCTCAAGCCGAAGTCTCGCAGGCCTAGAGGTCGACACCAACACCAAGATCGGCGGTGTGCCTCCATCGAGGGAAGAAGATCCCGATCTCGGTGATGGTGGTAATATTCTGGCTTCCAAGGTGGCCGAAATATTACCACCAACACCGAAATCTAGGATCACCTCCCCCCTGTGGAGGCAGCCCTCTGTCTTGGTGTTGGTGCCCATTTCCAGGCCTCCGAGACTTAGTGGGCCCCGGAAACGGCAGGGCCGTTTTTTCACCGTTTCCGAAAAAGTGTCCCTTGAAAATGGAAGCGGCGAAAAAGCGGCGACCGGAAACGGCAAAGAAACGGCTCCAGGATTGGACCCGGAGCCGGAACCGGTCAAACAACGGCGACGGAACCGGTAAAAAAACGGAGTTGGAACCGGCAAAAAAACGGCACAACGGAACCAGTAAAAAAACGGCCCTGTCGTTTCCAGGGCCCACTAAGTTCGAGGAGTTCAGTGGAGAGCGGGATGCAAGTCACCGCGGCGGAGATCAGCGACCAGTTGGAGCCGCTGGACCCTCCGACCTCGGACCCGTGCATGGAGCTAGAGGGCACCAGCGTGCAGCAGCCAGCGGAGAGGACGCGATGGTCGCGACTCACTTCGCAGGACCAGGGGGACAAGGAGAGTTTGGTAGAGAGGCTGATCTCGGAGGTGGGCCGCGAGATCAAATCCTGGCCCCCGACACAGACGAGCTCCACGAGTACATCCTGGGCAAGGCGTTTGCAGGATGGCGTCGGGTGCATGCTGATTCGCAGACTGGCAGCCTAGAGGTGCAGTTTTTTTCGACTGTGCTCGAACGAGGACCCCAAGGAGTGTTGCTATGAAGAGTCCGTGGTGCAGGCGCTGACGGACGACATTGAGGTGGCGGAGAAGGAGAAGCTACACGTGGAGCTGCAGTGCTTCGACATCGGCTCGATCGCGGCCCCCAAAGAGCACGGAGACGACGATGAGTTCGTGGGGTCGTCGCTGGAGGATCACGCGGAGGAGACGGAGAAGGTGAAGTGGCACGGGGAGCCGCAATGCTTCGACACTGGCTCGAGCGAGGCGCCCACGGACGACGGCGACGACGACGAGCTCGTGGAAGGTGAGGCCACCGAGGGGAAGAGGAAGAGGAGGGGGAGCAGGAGTGCAAGTACCCAAAGAGGAAGAGACGAGGGCAAGCGGGTAAGAAGCGAGACGAGGGCAAAGACTGTCCGCTCCTGACCGACTACCGCGCGACTACTTCCAGAGCAATGCTATGATGGCGCGCGACACTTCAGCTATCGAAGCTGGGGTCGGTGCGGCAAGCTTCAAATCGTAAAAGCAGTTAAAGGTGAGCGCAATCCACTGAATCGACCGCATCAACGAGATCTCGTTTGCAGGCTCAGACGGAACGGTTGTGGCGGGACCAGAGTCCCTAGTTGCAAGCGCATTGTGGAGGTTGGGCGAGACGGTGGAGCAGGGGAGGCTCAAGAGGACCGAGCGGGCGAGGTAGTGGGGGAATGAATCGGGCGCTGCTGGGCACGCGACTTCTGCAGGCGAGCGTGCATGCAATGGGTCGTCGTCCATTCACCTGCGAGCGTCTTATAAAACCGTCCAGCGCCAGATCACGCGGACAGGGCGCATGGCACTCGTGCGAGCACTGCAGCGCGCGGCGAGCTGTGGGAGCGGATGCGGCTGATGGATGCCCCAGGTTGCGATGCACTTCGCGAGCGTGACTGAGAATGGCAATGAGGAGGAGGCCCGCTGCAGTGCGAGCGCGACCGCGCGCTGCGCCCTTGGGCGGGGCGGTGGCTCGGAGCTCGGGGCCTCGTGGAATTGCTGTGCGGTTCGCCGCGGCCGCGGCAGCTGCAAGCAACGGATCGGCACTAAAGAATAGCTCCCGTTCTCCACGGGGTGTGAAAGTGGCTGAGCGAGCGGCAGCGGCGACGGCTGAAATCTGAGCAGAGAGCGGGGCAGAAGGCGGGCACCAGCCAGCAATGGCACTAAAATCTACTTTGCGAAGTGCGACAGGCAGGAGATTGCGCATCTTAAGGAAAATGTGATGTTCACTGCGGGCGAGCTTCTGATTGGGCGGCACGGACTGCGAGAAATAGCTGAGCACTGATACGACTGTTGCGTTATGTAGGCGAGCGGTGGCAACGCTGCCACTCTGCTTGAGCTGAAGAGAATTCGCTGCAGGCATGGCGACAGCCCGCTTGCGGAGCTTCGCGGGGAGGGGCGCAAGCAGCTGAGCTGCGGCAACGGGCTCACTGTCGGCGCGCAGCGTGTTGAACGAGAGCGTGGGGAGGCCAGTGTCGACGGCGCAGCCGCCCAAGAAGCGTTTGCCGTAGTCGAGCATGCTATTGTAGGTCTTGACGAACGAGGCGGCGTGGCGAACGGACAGGTCCATGGCAAACACCCAAGCCGGGCCGCTCACTGGGTAGCCCTGGGCCACCCCAACATCGATCGGGAACATGAAGTAATGAACGCCATCAGCTTGAAGGAAGCTGTTGGGGGCGAAGTCCAGCTGGCGAGAGAGGTTCATCAGTCCTTCTAGGGCATCGTGGTACTCCAGCGACGTGAGGAGCCGGCCACGGCCGATGGGCAAGGGTGCAGCCGCAAAGTCCAAGCTGTTGAAGACGAGCACGTGCTTGTCGGCCTCAGGTAAAACTCCAGCTTGTCGCATCTCGATGCCGAGGTTGGCGGCGTGCTTGGTGAGATTGCGGCCCACGGAAGGGTCCTCCTGCGAGGAATAAGTCCGCCCTGCCACAGCGGTTTTGGCGAGGAAGTTGGCCGCGTCGGCGATGGCCTTGATGCCGGTGTACTTGAGGATCCGCGGGCAAGTGTCCACAGAGAGGCGATCCGTGGGGAGCTCGCCTGCGAGGATGTCACCCTTCGGCAGGAACGCGTGGTCGGAGACGTTCAGGTCTAGGATGAGGACGGAGTTGGGGCAGGGATGCAAGGTGAGGGTCTCCATCAGGTCCAGGGGTTCGCCGATGGCCAGCTGGCCGCGGCGCGGCAGGAGGACGAGCCCGTGCGCGGAAAACAGGGCGCGGAGCAGGAAGACACTGTTGTGCAGCTTGGCGGGCGCGCCGACGACGATGAGGGGGGGGCCGAGCATGTGCGTGGCGACGTTTTGTAGGATCTCGATGTCGCGGCACAACGCGTCCGTCATCACCTTGAGCTCGGCAGAGGCCGTGGGCGCGAGGAGTCCGACGACGTAGGTGGGGAACTTGGCGGCGAGCTCGGTGGTGGAAGGCAGACGCCAGACGAGGCGGCTGTCCTTCCGCCAAGCCGCCCAGCGGTGGCTAGACGCGCCGCGTGGCCTCCGCCGTGTCCGCGAAGAGCGACTGGAACGACGAGAGGACGGCTCCTCGCTCGAGGTCGCGGAAGATGGCATGCTCGAACGCCTTCTCGTTCCATTCCAGGATGGTGGGGTCGGCTTGACCCTTGACGTCAAGGCGCACAACTGGCACGGCGTTGCAGTGGATCTCGCCCTTGGCTCGGTAGGCTCTCCATGACTTTTGCGGATGCCAATGTTGAAGGAGCTGGAGAAGTTTCTTACATTGGATCTCGGTACGTATCTGTTTAGGTGACTTGTCAGGGTTGAGAAAGATGTCCGTTGGTGTGCCCGAGGTGTCGACAGATGTGAAGCGCTTCCACCTGCCTCCCGCATCGCGCAGGGCTCGTGAGAGCGCCATGGCGCGCGGGATGGCCACATCTCGCCCTCCTTTGACTTGAAGCACAAATCCACGAGCGGGTGCGTCTCCGTGAAGTTCGACAGCGTCTGAGCCTAGGCTGGCAGAGGCGATCCACTCCTGAAGATCGTTGAGGAGCACGTCGGGCGCGATGAGATGCTCGGCCCCGATGGTGAAGATCGCGGGGTCGATCTCGCGGTCCCAATCAGCGAGCTTGGTGAGATCCGTGGTCGGCGCCTGGGCCTCAGCGACCGCGGGGGTCTCGCGCATCTGGTCGATCTGCATCCACATCTTCTTGTGTTCCTCAGCCTGACGATCTTGTTCTCTGCGAG